ATTGTCATGTGACAAAGCTGCCATAATATTCATATACATCCTTTACCATTAGTTATTTTAAAACATGAAATATTTGGAGTGTTTCCTGAAAGCTATATGTGGGTTTTTAAAAATGTGTTCACCTGGGTTCAATTTCCTTCACTATCCACTCCCCCCCCCCCAGTTAAATGCCTGAGTGGCAAAATAGGAAGTGAACCATAGTATGTAATTAAGCTCTCTGTATGCTTAATGCAAGTCATTAGTGCTACCGAGAAATTTGCTTTTGGGTGGAATCGTTGGAGGGAAGCTGCCTGTTCAACAGCATTTGAGGAGAGTTCAAGATGTGGCTTAATTTTAAGCTGGGGGTGGGGGGAATCTGAGGAAAGGCACCGATTCTTCTTTTTCAAATTAATCTTAAATTCAAGGCATGTGACAAATCACACTTGTGCCAAACATTTTCACGGAATGCAATGTGTTAGATTATTTTATGACAAGTAATGCAAAGCAATGCAGTTGGGCACACTGAGAATAGCTTGATCAGTATTCAGCACTAGGAAACCAAAATAGATGGTGTTCTATGAAGCTAGCAGTGCTATGAAGAAGAAGAAAACGAGGAGAATGGCACAAAATGCTTTGCTTTTCACAGAGGAATGATTCCTGCTTGCTGTGAATAAAAATAGCCATCACAAATAGCACAATTCAGCGGTGCTAATTTGATAGTTGAGTGTGCTTATGGGTGTTTAATGGAGTGGAGTGAATAATCCGTAGGGAACAATTTACTGAAATGTTTTAGGACCCACCCCCACCCCACACTTTGCCTCTACACATGAAATAACACCACTATGATTACTTGAATTTATTTGCTTTTAGAATATTTGTTTTAATCTGGTCTCAGATGATCAACCGAGTCAGCTGCAAGCCCAACTGAACCAGAAAATGTGGCTTTAAGCTGATTTAGCCCAAAGGAGAGTGGGGGAAAGAGAGGAGCATATTGTACAGAATCCTGAGCAAAGGCACATGCTGGGAAAGCAAAGAAAGAAAAAGATTTTTCTCACCATACATGCATACTTCTTGTAACCTAGAATTGGATGTAACCCAGCTGGCATCCTTGTGTTTAGAGAAAGGCTTTTGATCCAGTAGAGGCATCTGCTAATGCAAGATGGGAGGAGCACATCCCTGGGTACCAAATCTAGGCCTGAGTAGCCCTAGGAACACTCCCCAGACTTCACCCCTCCACAGCCACACCTTTGCCAACCATGTTGTCCTTCCATGCTTCTTGACTGTCTGGAACTATAATACAGTGGTACCTTGGGTTACATACACTTCAGGTTACATACGCTTCAGGTTACAGACTCCGCTAACCCAGAATAGTGCTTCAGGTTAAGAACTTTGCTTCAGGATGAGAACAGAAATCGTGCTCCGGCGGCACGGCAGCAGCGGGAGGCCCCATTAGCTAAAGTGGTGCTTCAGGTTAAGAACAGTTTCAGGTTAAGTACGGACCTCTGGAACGAATTAACTACTTAATCCGAGGTACGACTGTAATGACTTTTGCTTGTCTGGATGGAGGTGAACGAGAGAGAGACATGCCGAGAGAGTAAAAATGACCCTAGTTTCTAATTGCTGCTCACACTTTTGCCTCTGGCCCTGCCCACTGCTGACATGTGGCCCCTGGAAGGTTTTCCAGAAGAGGTTGTGGCCTGGCAGCTGACACAAGTTGCCTATCCCTCTGCTCATCAAAGGGGAGGGAAGGTGTTTTTTGCCAGTTCAGATTTCTCTCTGCAGCCCCCCCCCCCCAGCACCAGCCCACCTCTGAAAATCAGCTCCAGAAAACCTCCCTCAAAAATAGGGTGGAAGGTGACTTGCGGAGCTGCAGGGGATTCCACCCAGTTTCCATATAGATTAATTTTGTTCAGTTTTGGCATCATTCACAAGGAGGTTCTCCCATGCAGCACTTATTCATCTCAATGAGGTATGTGTGGGAGGCCCACCTAATGATTTGTGTCCTTGACCACTAGTTACAATCCTTTACCAAAATGCTGTTGCTGTCCTCTTTTTCCTTTACCTTATTCATGACCACAGCTCTCCTCCTCCTCCTCCTCCTCCTATGCTCTTTGTGTGTAGATCACACCAGTCCTTACTGAATTTCATTTCACTCTTCAGCAATGCAACTGGTGGAGTTCTTGCTGATTTGTAGCCACCATGTAGTGGAAGCGCCTAAGTCGGCAGCCTGGAGGGGCTTAGTGGGGACAAACATGGCTCATTTGTTCACCACTGAATACCTTAAATGAAACTGATCCTGGACAGTGTGACTGGATGGTGCTTTAGATACCACCACTTGACTTGCACTAAGCATGGCTTAAAGTTTGGTCCAGATGCAAATGACCTTGCCCCCAGTGTCTTGCAGGTTTGTCACAGAAGGTTCCCCAAGGCTCTGTGCTATGTCCTTCCACATGTTACTTCACTACCAAGAAAAGCTCTGCTGGATCTTGAGGATCCAGAGATATAAACTTCCATCACCACCACACGAAAGACTTATGCATCTATTCTCTGCATTCAGCTGTATTCAGTGCCCCCCGCCCCCTGCTGGAATGTGTAATTGAACTCTAATAACGACTCTTGCTTTCCTGGATGGAGGTTAGAGATGGAGACCTGCTATCCGCACTCTAGCCCTTACCTGGCCTCCTTTACCCTCTGACATTATAACTGCCCTATGTGACCAAGTGCATGGAAACATGGCCCCATGTGAAAGCTCTCCAAACTGTGGGATTGCCTCTATGCTTGCTTTCAAGACACTTCCAATCCCTTTAAATGAGGTCTGTTGGACCAGATGTCTTGATCTAGTAGCAGTCATTTCCAAATAGCCCATTAGTGTAGTTTATACAGCACCATTCAAACTACTAGACATTCCTGTTCAGTTTTCCTGAACTAATTGAGAGAGCTCCAAGGTGAAATTCTAAAACTACACTTCATTATATTTTCTAATTACCTCGGTAGATGCTATTAACTTGAGCAAAAGTGAATTACAGGATGCGTGTGCAAACAGCTCTGAAGGCAGGAAAATGAGCTGTCCTTTGTTTCAGAGAGTCAAACCTATTAGTTTGCTGTTTTTAGAACTTTGGAGCTAAAATTAAAAAAAAATTAGAGAGTGAGGAAAATAGTTATAGAGACTAAAGGTTTAACTAGTCTTTGTTGAATTGTAACTGTCTCTTTATCATGCTTCATAAAGCTTATGTAATTTGACCTTGAATTAAAGGGCTTCCACTCCAAAACAGAAAGTAATTGTATGTCTGGTGTTCGAATCATAGTGTTAAAATGAAATTAGCCGCGCACAGGAGGAGCTATTACAAGGGAAAACATCCCATTAATGGTTTGTAAACCTTTGTAGTACACCATTATTTCTCAAACTGGTGAGATGATTTCAATGTTATCTTAACTGTCTATGACAGAAATACGTTCTCTGCATGTTCAATAACATTTTATGTACAAAAGGCAGAAGAGATTCGAACAGTGGATTCTTAACATCCTTTGATAATATGTGTGGGAGGGAGATGGAATCATAATCTTTTCAAAAACTTTGGAAAATATCGCATTGCTGTGAGGATTGCAGTATTTATGACACAATGCTTTTGGTATACAACTTGCTGACGCTCACTTACTCGTAGTAGATTGATGCTCTGAAGAACTGGGCAATTTGCATCTTTCAATAACATTACAATAAAGCCTTTGAGAGTCCATGACAGTTAGGATTACAGCCAAGACAAATTAAGTGTCTGAGAGATTTTTAGAAACGAGGGATTGATGTGGGGGGGGGACTTTTTTTAATATGCACTTTGAAAGATTATCAGATGTTAGTATATTAAATACCAAAGTTTTTAGAGAATATGTTTTAGGAGTTCATGTGTAAAATGTAATTGATGTGCTTTTCATCCTTGAACAATGAATAGCTTCTGCTTTCTAATACAAGTGGCCCAGATCCCATTAAATTGTGCACAACTCAAAATTGGGATCTACACACCGTGGCTGAGCAATTTGGGGGATTTTTAAACAAGATCACTTTGATGTTGAATGATTTGGATGTATCAACTATATGTGTGGAAAAATATTTGCATATGTCTGGTGGATCAGAAAGAGTGCAAATTTTACAACTAAGGGTTTGAACACCCAGTCTGATTATGTCTATGGTGGCTTCCTGGGTTTCCAGAGATACTTCTCACAAAAATTGAAGGCATTGTGAAACAAATTATTTTCTTTTGATTTTTGCAGTGCAGAGGTGAGGAATGTTTCAGCTCATCTAGGTATTTTCTAGCCAAAATGGTGCCAAATCTAGTCTTTTCTAGTTAACAAGCCATGGCTATCCACTGGTGCACACAATATAGCCATCATAGATGAGTTCTGAGAATATCTGCCTTTCCTCAGAACATGCTACCCATGGTCATTCCCTATAGGGTCGGTGGAAAAATGCATTTGGTCGTCATTTTCTGAGCAGAATGACCCAGTTCAGTAATCTTGAACTTGCTTGTGCACAACAACACAACTGCTGATTGGATTATGTGCCTACCTGGATTTTGCAATGCAGTTTTAGTGCAAAAAAAAAAGTTAGGAAAACAAACTGAAAAGAATGGGAAAATGCATATTTTGGGGAAATGCAAACAACATGTGCAAGAATGCATACCATTTCAATGTGAACTTCTCATGCATTCTTTCGGTAATAAAGAAATCTGCACAAAACAGGAAGGGAATGGACTTGTGCTTGAGTACCAGAAAAAAGTGAAAAGAGATTAACTTGGGCTGCTCCGTCCACCCCTAGCCCGTGAATGCTTTCAATATCCAACCTGGAACATAAGAACCTGGCCTCTATTAGGTCATACAAATCAGTGACTCAGCTGGCCTCTTGCTTTGTATACACCAATGGAAAAGTGTTGTGTTGTGTTGTGTTGTGTTTTTTAAAAAAATCTTTAGTCAAGAAAATTTGAAACAAGCAGATGAATCCCAAAGAAAGACAAAAGCACCATATTTTCTGGGTGTACTTATTCAAAGGTTTTGGAATCACTGTCACAGATCATAATCAACAGCCAACCAGAAGAGTGACATATTTACTCTCATTCTTGAGTATGGGATCAACCTATTTAAAAGTAATGTACTATACTACACCAGAACCAGTATAGGCTTGTGGAGCTGTGATGTGAAAGTAAAGTCATTATTTACATCCATTATAAACATTTTCCCAGTTGGTAATGGTTGTGGTGATAATGAACTGGGTTCAGTGGCTCTTGGCACCAAATTCTGCAATATATCCAACCACTGAAATACCAAAGGGTTTATTGTGTTCATCTGTAACAAATGCATGCTGAAGACTGACTGATGCTTCACACAGACACACATGCCTCCTTAATCCTATGCCTGTAATTCTTTTTCTTACAGACATGGACCTCAAAATATAAATGAGTTGCTAAGGAGGCTTGTCAATGAAGAGATAATTTTGTCACTAACAGTGAATTTAATTAGACAAGCTCTTTTAAATTAAAACACACTTTCAAAGGAAGGCGGAAAGAGCAGGTGGCAGTCCCACTTTCCTGAGCAAACAGAGTTTTATGCTCCATCAATCAATTGTTTAAGAATATGTCACTGGAGACAATAATGGCTTGAAACAAATTCATCAATGTTAGATTTCCAAAGTTGTCGAGGATAGTTTGGTCTGCAGCTCTCATTGGCATGTGAGAAACACAGAGCACCTAGTCTCTTTGGATGTCTGTTTAAACAAACAAACAAACTTGAGCTGCAGTTCATAAATTTGGCCTATTTACAAATAGCCCTATCAACTTAGCAGAGCAGCTGTACTTAGAGAACCAGCAAATGTACAAGACTATAAATCATTGCCAGCATGAAACAAACTGAATTTTAAATCAAGGCAGCAAAACATGAAAGTGCATGCCAGGGTGTAATTGCCTTGGATCAGAAACATTTGCCATCCGCACCAAAATAAACATGCTGTGTAGCAGCAGCACCTACACTGAAAATAGAATCAGTGTCACATTGCATGGAGAAGATGTTGTTGAGTTGCTAATGTCCCCAAACTAAATTACTCTGTGTCAAAAACACATAAAACTATTGTTCCTAGTTTACAATTGGTGCTAAATAAATGTTCAACACACACACTCTGGGTGCCTGCTCCTGATAAATCGCCATCCCAGTTTTTGCCTCTTTCTCTCCAAATGTTGTTAGCAGGTTACTAGAGTTAACATTCTTTGTGGTTCAGTTTCCAAAATTTAGATTTCTGCTGCTTCTGTTGACACTCCCACCCAAATGACCCATTTCAGGGTTTTCTGCTCTCTGCCGCTTGTGGTAGTTTCCTCCAACCAACCAAAGTGAAGTTCAAGGTTCCCACCACAACAGAGCCCTTACCATCAGCAGCAGCTCTCTTCTTCACCTGCAGAGGTCAACAGAGAGGCAACTATATGCCATTCTTGCCTCTAGCTGCAACACTGGGGAATTATTGGCTCTGAGATCCTATACTCTCCCTTCTGGAAGTGAACTCCATTGAACTTGGCTGAGTAAACGTGTATAATAATGTCAAAATAAAAATGTGGACTTGTACTACATAGTGTCTTTCCACAATCTAACTGAATTTTAAAACTAAACTTGCAGTTGTGTTGTTGTTGGTATCTGTCCATTTCGAGAATTAAGACGTTAACAGGGTTCATGTAAACCCTCTCAGCCCTCCCATGAAAGAGATCAGCTAGAGGCCTGAGGAAGAACAGCTGAAGGCCTCCGGGGCTTTTAGAAGAACAGCATCTGCTGCCTGAGGCAACTGCCTCATTGTGCCTTGTGGTAGGGCTACTCATATAGCCAAGCACTCTTGCTTCGATTTCTCACTCATTTCATAGACTCATAGAATTGGAAGAGACCTTCAGGATCATCTAGTCGACCCCCCTGCAATGCAGGAATATGCAGGTGCACTTTGTGGAGATCAAACCTGCAACCTTGGCTTTATCAGCACCACACACAAACTAGTTGAGTTATCTTGTCATGGCAATAAGTTGAAGAACAACCCCAGGAAAAATGACACACCCATTAGAGGTGCAGCTACTCCTTGAGCTTCAGTTATTCATGAATGCATCCTCAATTTTTCTTCCCAGCAGGAAATATATATATAGTTATCTATTGGGGAATCTTTCAGACACTTATCTCAAGCTCCTGAGACACGTTCCACTAGTCTACACAAGGTTTGGGCTTGTGTTTCACAAACCACTGTCTTCTCTGCCACATTAATTCAGGAGTGTTTTCTTCAAGCATGTGTAGCAAAGAGCTCTCTGGATCAAAAGCGGCTGGGTGGTGGGTGGGAGGCAAAAATCCCAATAGGGATGTTGTGCAACTTCTTGAGCGCACAGCGAGATAATTAGCTTCATTGCAGCCCACATGCCCCATCTGAACAGGAGATTCCACAACATGACCCTTTGGATTTCTTCCCACACTGATCCGAAGCTTAATGATTTCATCTAAAAGTTGAGAGAAGTGGCCCGTAATGTGCTCCATCTCACGAGTGCATTCAACCAGCGTAGGTATGCTGTGCTCACATAAGCTACCTGCTGAGCTAATGGATTCTCCTTTCCTTCCTTTATCCATTCCAAACTATGGGAAATATGTCCAAACAACATTTTCGGCTCCCACAGTTGTGCTGCAGGGCAGGCAAGATGAAATGCTGCTGTTGCTAAACAAGCAAGCGGCTGAAACTGATACGGACCTGCTTGTCTTCCAGGACTCTGTATGCAAACAGGAAGCTGCTTTATGCCAGGTGGAGATGCTTGATTTGGCTTCTCCTGTAGTGGCAACTGAGTGGCATAAGGGTTTCTTTCCCATCAGCTACTACCACTTCCTTTCAGCTGGAGATGTCGGGTGCTGAGCATTTTGCCTGCAAAGCATGTGTTCTACCCTTGTGCTTTTCTAAAAGTGCAGAAAAATGGAGAAGAGTACAATATGATCCAATCAGCAATAGCTGTTCTTTCCTTTTAGAATGAATAAAGTTTTCAGACCACCTGGCAAGAGAGCATGTGAGCAAACCTCATTTTTCCTTAGAAGAGGTGAGATCCCGCTGCTCAGGAGCTGAGACCAGTGCCCCATGCTGCTTACTTTCATTGGATTGTATCCATGAAATCTTGTTAGCACAAGGACTTCTGCTGGAGCAACAGAACTTCCCCTTCATCTGCTCACTGCACCCTCCAATCTGTTCCAGAGGGATTTTTTTTAAAAATTTTTTTTGGGTGGAGGGAGAGAATCCAAAACAGATTTGGGGGATGCACAGGGGAGAAGAGGGAGGACAAGTTCCACCGTGTAAGTGGAAGTCCTTGAGCTAGCAGGGTGACCTTGTTGGAAAACACCATTTATTTAGAAAAGGTATAAACTGCTTACTGAAAAGAATTCTCTAAGCAATGTACAAGTCCAATTTTATATAAAACATGATTAAAGCACACAAAGCGATAACAAGCATACATAAAACCAGTGCTATTTTTCCAGAAAAAGAAGTGCTGGAACTCCCCACGAATGCCTCCCTTGCTCTCTTAGAATGGCAATGGCGCCCACCTGAGTTCTGGTGAATTTCAGCTGAAGAGGAGGAGGAGTTTGGATTTGATACCCCGCTTTATCACTACCTGAAGGAGTCTCAAAGCGGCTAACATTTTCCTTTCCCTTCCTCCCCCACAACAAACACTCTGTGAGGTGAGTGAAGCTGAGAGACTTCAGAGAAGTGTGACTAGCCCAAGGTCACCCAGCAGCTGCATGTGGAGGAGCGGGGAAGCAAACCTGGTTCACCAGATTACGAGTCCACCGCTCTTAACTGCTACACCACATGGCTCTCAAAAAAAGCCCTGCATAAAACTATCATTAGCAGCAAATGTAAAACCAAGAAGACATTTTAAATAAATGTAATTTAACCAGACTGGTTGAAATGTACAAGCTTTCTGCAGGTTTCTAAGGCAGTGTAGTGACTAATGTCGATCGGCAGGGAGTTCCACAGCTCGGGTACTAAAGGAATGACTCCTGGCACTTGCGAAAGTGGAAGTTCCACAGATTGAAGTGATCAGAATAATTTCTTCCCTTCTTCATCACTAACAGACATAGAATTCATTATGCCAAGGGATGAAAAATGTTATTTTCTTTGCTTCTACAGTCGCTTGAAAAGTACTGTGTCAGATATGAAAATTTTCTCTTAGATCTAACACCATTCACCCAGGCCCTTCATCTCTGGATGTTGCAATCAACAAGTAATGTCTATGCACTTCAGAATGCCTTAGAAATCACAGTGGGCATTGCTAGCTACTTGAGCCATTGACTTCTGTGTAATTCAGCATTTCCTTCACTTTACAGGTACTTCTGGTGTGCCTTGATTTTTCTGCTTTCTCCAAGTAGTTAGGGATATGGGAGAAATTCAGTTCCATTTCTGTCTGAATGTGTATCTACCTAATTTGCATGTCTTGAAACTCTAAGTAAAGTGAAACACAGCTATCCTTCAAGATTCACACATCTCTGAATCTTGTGATGTAGTGAATACTGAAAAATATGTCCCTGGGGAGAGTGTGTATGCATTTGTATGCATCAGGGACAAAGACATACATTGTGTTAGGGAAATGGCTTGCAAAAAAAATGTGTATATTAGGCGAAATAGTGTACAAAAGTGTGTGCACTGGAGAAATGCACACTAACATGCTGATAGGCTTTCATGAGGACTTGAACAAAAGAAAATCACAAGCTGATATGGAAATGTGGAGAAGTGAACTTAAGATTAAAAAGTGAGAAACTGAAAGAAACTGAAATTGACAGATTTCTCTCATTATCTAGTATACCAACTACTGACGTTATGAATGGAAGGGATCTGAAGGACAGCTAATATCTCTACACTGACACATAAGGCATAAGCCATCAATGTGAGTGGTTAATCATTCCCACCTATAACCCTGTGATTATTTTAGAGAAGAAACTACTGTGGTTAACAAACAAACAAACAAACAAAAAAATCAGCAACACCAAACTGTTTTATTTTGTTTAACAATGGAAGGGTGTTACAGATGTCAGTATTATTTATTTTGTTATTTTTAAAAAATGCCTGCAGTCAGGTCATCTGTTCAGTCAAGGTGAGAAAACAGATAATGACTTGACAAGCATTGCAACTGAAAATGCAAACAATGCCAATAATTACCCAAATTAACAGTACAGTTTTGATGCTTTGTCACAGGAAGACTCTCTAACTGTGGCAATGCATTTTTCAGAATTAATTTCTTCCCAAATAATGACTCTGAGCAAAGAAAGCAATGCCTCTCCTCTCTCTCTCTCCTCTCCTTCCCCCCACCGTTTTAATAATGCAAGTCTGACATGTTAACAATCGGGCACATGCTCATTCATTGTAGCCTGATCTCAGCTGTCTGATAATGGCTTAAGAAGGATGATGAGTGGAATCACACATCAAGGGAGTCCTTTGTTGATGGAGGGGACCAGGAGTGCATTTCCAATTTGCAGCTTGGAGATGAGGCTTCAGAAGCGCTGCTTATGTTTGATACCCACTCAGTCGTTACCACCAAACTGCCAACCTCAGAGGTCAAGGATCCTTTTATATTGGATATGGGCAAGTGCCTAAGTAGATTTTCTGGAAATGTTGGCAATTTCCATATAAAACAGAAAAGGTGTGACTGTGTGAGAGGGTGATTTGGACGTGGATGTGTGTTATAGTTCTGTTTATATACATCCTTGCTTTCAGAACACAGGGTCTCAATAGTTTCTCATAGTGGTTCTTCTGAAATCAGGGGAATCTATATTGATGTGCCAAACCTGGGCAGCGTGGAAGGAGGTCCTGGGCTGCCCAGATAACACACTTTTTCAATAAAAAAAACAGACTGTGTGTGTAGGGAAACAGCTCCTCTCAAGAAATATTCATTCCCTGCATTTATTTGCTTATTTATTATACTTATATCCTACATCTGCTCCAAGATGTTAAAGATGGTGTACCTCAGAGAGGGGGAATGGAGTCAGCCAGCAGGGCAGATTTTTTAATCATGTTTACCTCTAGAAAAAATGGTGCTGGAACTTGTTGCTCCCTTGTTCTCTTATACTGGCAATGACACCCACCTAGAGGTGCCAGAACTGAGTTCCGGCGAGTTCCGGCTGGAGAAAAAGCCCTGGCCCCAACTCACATGGCCAATAGTCAGGGATGGTGGGAGTTTTAGCCCAACAGAATCTGTCTCTCTGTTCTACCAGTTCATAGTGGTTGGCATTTGCTTAGAAACCCCCTTAGAACCAAAACTTGGGCAGAGGGCTAGGAATGTGTTTGCCGCTTCTCTGTCTGTTTTGACTGCTTCTTCAGAAACACAATCAGCCTCTGATGATTCCAGTATATATATTAAGGACATGAAAAGAGTTTGCTGGATCAAGCCAGTGGCCCATTTAGTCCAACATGCTGTTCTCACAGTGGCCAGCCAGATGCCTGTGGGATCTTACTGTCTCGGAGGTCAGTCTACATATTTTCCCTAGAGGTTCCAGCAAAACCCACTGGGCTGAGGCTTAGATGTTTTATTTATGTATAGGATTTCTTACCCACCCTTCATCATAAGGTCCAAAATACTGAGGGTTTATACAGCTCAATTCAAAGGAGCAGTGAGCTTTCATGAGTTCCAAAATTCTTCTCCGCTACAGTGTCAGATCCAGGCTTCAGAAGAATCCCCGCCTTCCCTTCCATTGTCCACAGCAGCCCTTCCCAATTCACAAAACATCCTCCCTGTGGGAACCCGTGATCTACAACCCGTGATCCCCTGCTCCATCTTTTAAAAAGATTGACTGTCTGGCAGGTGGATCAGTGGGCAGGTATTTGGCCAGGGAATGCCTGTACTTTACCCCATCCTCTCCATGGCACACTGACTGCCTTAGCAGCACAGGAAGTCCCTGCAAACATTAGCAAGAATGCTGTATCTTGATTTCAGTAAAGCTTTTGACAAAATCCCCCCTCCCAAAATTTTCCTCATGCTGCACAATGTTTTGAGAACAGAGCAGACATGGGTTGCAATTGATTGGGACAGAGCTTACGCATAAGGCCCAACTCCTCCCTAAACATAGTTTCAGTTGAACCCCAGAAAAGGGTGAAAATTCGGGGGTTGTGGGGTCATTTCAAATCGGTTTGTCTGCAATCACCTGGTTCTGGTCCTTTTCCTCTCTGCTTACTTCACTCTGTGGGGTTTGGATTTTCGGATGTTATCTGGGAGGAGTTGATTCCCCTGCCTTCAGGCTGTGGATGAAAATATTGGATTTGTTAGCCTTTTCTTCTTGCTCGATTTTACAGTTAGCATTAACTCTAAAGTATGATTGATTTCTCTGACAGTCTAAATTACAGGATGGTTATGAATTTCCCATCTTTAGTGTCGGAAACCGTAACTGCTAATGTGGTGGTAAATGATATTTTTCTGCATATGACCACAACCTCTATCAGAGTAGTTTCTATTTGCAGGCCAAACTTCAAATTATGTTAAGGCTCTTTCTGAAGGCATGCAGCACGTGCTCTCAATAGCACTCTGCAAAGTGCAATGGGTAGCAGGGTGAATTGACAATTAGAAAAGGCTACTAACTTTGGCTGGATACCACAGAACAAGTGCTGAGTGCTTTTCTTTTATGGAGGCCAAACCCCTTCACAGTTTTGGGTGTGTTCTGGAATCTGATGTCCTGAACCCTTGATTTCACCCAGTTTACTGTTATTTATTTAACATAACTGATTGTGAGAGAGCCCCCTGTCAGTGATGGCCAAACATGGCCCTCCAGCTGTTTGGGGACTACAACTTCCCATCATCCCTAGCTAACAGAACCAGAGGTCAGGGATAATGGGAATTATAGTCCCAAAACAACTGGAGGGCCAAGTTTGGCCATCACTGCCCTAAGTGGTGTGCAAAAATATGAAACAAAACATTAAAATTCTCAAAACGAAAACCCCAGGTGTTTTGAAGCATTCAAAGGATGATTAAAAATTAACAGCAGGTAAAAAGAGAGAACACACATGTAACTTGAACATGCCTGGGTAGGCTTGCCTGAACAAAAATGTTTTTAAGCAGACATGGAAAGGAATACAGCAAAAGGTGTCTGTCTGGTGCTATTATTTATTTAGTGAACGAAACTGATACACAGTTTACTTGATAAAAGACCGCTAAACAGTTTACAAAGAAAAAAATCCAAAATATAATTTTTAAAAAGCAATAAAGGCAAACACGAAAAACTAGTTAACATAAACCTTTTAAATATCAATAAAATCTTCAACTGTAAAACAATTATATATAATAGAATTAAATGCTAAAATTATATTCCTGGGCTGGCTTATGGGGGTGGGGGTGGTGAGATGCTGAAAATAATACAGCAAAGGCACTTGCCTAATACTAATGGGCAGCAAGTCCCAAAGATTATTACACACAAGACCCCTGTGTATTTCTTAATGAGTATACCTGGACTCTTTGCTGCAGGATGCCATGTTCATTAATAGGAAGGGGCAACATCACTGCTGCTTATCACCAAAGGGCACTGCATAGTGGCACTGAGGTCAGACCTATATCAGTATACCAGCTGGAGCAATTATTTGGCTCCACTGGTGCACTGACACCACCCCTACCATCCTGGTAAGTAACAGATACACCACTGACGGGAGGGTGACTCTGTCTCACGCTGCCAGTCACTCCTGTTGGTAGCACTAGCTCTTCTCTTTAAGGCATTGAATTTGGATCCCCCCAAATTAGTGAAGCTCTGTGGCCCCACATACCCAAAGCCTCTCTCCCAACAACTGCAGTCATTTCCCAATTTACTTGGGAGTTATGCTCCAAGGCACTGTGCATTTATGTGAAATCACATTTACTTGAAACACCATTGGAAAAGTCTGCAAACACATCCAAACCCCTGGAAACCCTTGAAAAACCAGCAGAAGTTTCCAGATGCCAAACTTCATCACAATCATTCCCTCCAAACCTCCTTGCTCAAACTCCAACTCTCTACAGGCCTCAACAATTGGTGAAAGAGCTCCTAATATACACCTGCAAAGGCTCATGGGATCGCTAAGTGCTGTTTTCATGGCTTTTTTGCCCTTTTTACCAATTTTGAAGTCACTTCAAGGTTCAGCACCGTACTTGGTCGCACGTCAATTGGACACACATAAATTGGTCATTGCTTGTCTCTTGTTTCTCCTGATTGTCAGAAGAAACTTCTGCCACAGGCTTAACACTGTGCAGTCATTCCAACTGCTTAAATGCCTCAGACACACAAACGGGTTACGAGCTTTGCAAAAGCCAAATTGTGTAGTCAGAATAGCTCATATCCCACTCCCCCATTGAGGTCATCCTTTATAGAATTTACTAATAAAAAACTTAGTCTCCAATTTCATTATTTACACAATGAGACAGAGGTATCAGCAGGCTTGGAGAAAACCCAGGTTTTGCAGAAGTACAAAAATATCCAGAGATGACCCATTGAATGGGATCAGACTCAAGAGATGTCATGTGGCTTCATATGGCAGAGGGGCAGGGTTTAGAGAAAGTCACACTGCAGACCAAAGGCAGAGGCCTTGTGGGTCTAATTAGGCTTGCAGGATGCCGGACAAGATAAGCCTTTGGTCTGATCCAGTAGGACTGTTCATAATTATGACCCAGCAGGACTGCTCTTAATTATGTTCCAATATTGTCTTACTGAGAAATAAGTCCCATCGCTAGCTATGAGCTGGACTCGGGTTGCTGCTTTTGCCAAGGAAGCTGCATTCCATTATCTGTGGCACCCGTGTGAGAAGATGGAATTATTGGGCAGGACGCATCATTGGAAGCCCTGTACAAAGACTTCTGCTTGAACAATGGGGTTTTCCTCCTCTCCTTCCTCTGGGTCCCCCATGCCCCAAGAATTGGTTCGGGGGAGTCAGGAGGACCCCAGAACAGCACTTGGGGGAGGGCAGTCTGTCTGGCAAGCTGAAATGCTTGCATGGGCAGAACATTCATCATAGTGCAATGTTGAATGCCAATGTTATTGTCATCTCTGCAACTCTCCATTCAGCTTTCAGTCAGCGTGTGGCATGGCATCTCAGGGCCAGACCTATCATTGAGCAGAGAGAGGCAGGTGCTGAAAGAATGCAGAGAAGTGCAGACCAACAGAGTTATGTGTGTCACATCATTTCTGCTGAACCCTCTAAGCTAGTCTGCTGCCTTCAGGTGTGGTGGAGCCTTCAAGGTGTGATTCAACTCCCAGTCCAGTCAGCTTTTGTACAAATAATTTTGTGTCTGTGCGAGTGTGTGAGATATTGGATGCATCTTGTCCTTTATCTCAGTCAGCAAATGATCAGGCCTGACACATTGTCCCGTTTCTGCCAGCTAGTCACTGATAAGAATCAGGGGTGGGGAAACACATAGGAATGACAATCATACATGCACTTCCCCCACCCCAGTATGGAACTCAAGGTGGTATATTTAAGGTTGATGCCAGAGCATGCCATAGGATACAGTGCAATGTAGATGATGTTATAAGGAAGGAGGTCTAAGAAGTCATGGATTCAGCCCCATCCCTCTAAAACCATCTAATTTGACCCTGACTCTTCATAATAAAGGGAAGGAAAAGACCTCAGTCTTGGAAGGGAATCTGTGTAGCAGATCCCTTAGGAGTCTTTTTGAGTAGCAACTTCAGTTTAACGAATTGGGGGCCAATGCTACATAGGACAGGCCAAGCAGTGTCAGGCTCTTGTGAGTCATGCTGAATGTCACGCCAGTTGCAAAAGACTCCCCACGTTTTATGCAATTAGGCTTTTCTGTTAATACAGACAAGGAAAAGGCACAGAAAGAAACTGCCCTTGTTTTCTGATAGCAGGAAACAATCAGGGCACAGGGCCCGACAGTTTGGCTCATCGGGCTGAATAAGGGAGCAGTGTTAACTCTTGCTTGCAGACCTACAGAACAGACAAAGGTTGCCAGATCGACATTTCCAATAATAAAGGATGCTGCAAAGCTGTGGTGTTTGTTCTATGGGCTTCTATAGAGCCACAGTGTTTTGAAATAAGGGAGGTCCATTATGTGTTGCGGAGATGTGATATTCCGGAATTGGGGACGATCGTTTAAAATAATGGGCGTCCCTTAGAACAAGGGCCATCTGGCAGCATTAGCACTGAAATACTTTACCCACAAAAACAAAAGGGGAAGAAGACAGACAGCAATCTTTTTTGTTTTCGTTGTGGAGCCTGAAGTACGCGAACAATGCACAAAAACATCATTGATAAGCTAAGCGGAGGAAAGTATATGGTTCAAAGTGAATGTGTTATCATTATTATTATTATTATTATTATTTATTAATTTCATTACTATTACTACTTTCAGAAAAGTGGGAATTGGGACTTGAGGTACTGCACAGCCCTTCTCTTGCAATTGCTTCACCAAGACAATAGGAAAAATGAAGGATGTTACCATTTGCTGGCTGTTTCAGTGGCCTCCCAGTGGCCAGTTTAGGGATTTGTGTAGATTAACATCCACAGAGAAAAAGCATGAAGAATGCCAATACTTGGATGTCTGATGTACAAATTCACTAAGGTTTGTGTTTCTCAAGAATATTATTTTACACTTCAGATGGCGAGTGCAAAACTGTTAGGTTAGCATTTCCTTAGAATCCTCACACAGCGCGGGGGTGGGGGGGGAGGAACCTTCTATTCTGAACTTCTCTCCTTTGGCATTTCATTCCCAGCACTAAGAAAGAAGACTTGTCATTGAAGGGGACCAGAGCCTTCCTAGGGAAAGTGGAGTGGGCATCATAACTGGAGGTTTTGGCTCCTGACCAGCTTGCAGGGGGAGAATCCACTCCGCTCACTGGGCAGGGAGATATAAAGAAATTGCCCATTCCTTCTCTAATCTCTATACCTTTACTTTTGCTTTACACAGGGACTGGGAACTTGTGCCCCCGCAGGGCATTACAGGAGTCTAACTCTCAACTTCCTTTCAGTTTTGGTTTCTTGGTCATTTTCTCTCAATATTAAATTCAGTTCTCTGCATTTCTACATCAGCTTGCATTTTTTTAAAAACCCTCATCAAAATTCATCAACATATTGGTGGAAACTCTGCTGATGCACACATCTTTGTAAGCAATTCTGCCTAATACAATGCATTTTTACATATTATTTTTGTAGTACATGGTTTATTTTTAAAGCATTACTGAGCCAGGTTAACATGGGCGTAGCCAGCATTTTTGGTGGGGGGCAGGACTTTTGTTGGGGAAGGGGCAGAACTGAGCTATCTGTGA